CTTCCTGTCCCTAACAACAACTATTTATACTACCTAATAAAACGTCTAGATTCCACTCGAAATATCGTGAACAGGTCGATAATCTTCTCGAGTCATCTCAATAGCCGTCGATTTCTATTCCAAGAAATATGGTTTATTTACTTCCGTAGCAGGTAGCTGGGATTGATCGCCAGGGTCGTAACAATATTAACCGGATAGATTATTGTGAGGAGATTGAGCAACTTCCTCAGATGTACCTTGATGTTCGACGAAAACTTTCCGAGGCGTACGCTAAGAATTCGAGAACCTATAATCTACGTAAAAGACCCAGTGACGTCTACCACCTTGGTGACCGCGTCTGGAAGAGAAACTTTGTACTTTCCAACAAAGGTGAACACTTTGCATCAAAACTAGCACCAAAATTCACTCTTTGCACGGTTAAAAGGGTTATTTCTAAATTGGTGTATGAGCTGAGTGATTCTGAGGGTAAAAATCTAGGCAAATTTCAAGTCAATGACCTAAAGCCTTACCAGGGACCTGAATAGACATTAGTGTGTATGTGTAGTATGAATGTGGCAGCGAATGTTGAATGAATCAATGAATGAATGAAACCCAGGTTCTGAAAAGACTAGTCTCACATGACCGATTTCATTATTGGAGAATTTGCAGTATCCTTTCACCCTTTATGAAGTCTAGTTCAGTTTTTCTTCGAAGTATCGACTTCCGGAATTTTTGTTGTTTGTCATGAGGGACAACTTTAACTTTTGTCGAGTACCTGAACAAGTCAAAGCAACTCGTATTCAATTGGAATATCTCACGCATTTGCGGGGAGATATTCACCCTAAGGATTGGTGAGTTTGCCAGTGATGGCAAACGAACTAATCTGGCGGTTGTCTGGTCTGACCAGATTAATTGCACCTGTATATGGTCCTTTTGTGTCGCGTTAGATGTGAGTCTACCGACCATTTAAACTACTTAAAGGTACAGGTTGATATTGTTTGGAAAATATTGTCGCTGCGCTAAATATTTTCTGTGAGGAGGGGGGATGTGTAACGGTCCACTAGTGGATCGTTCATAACTCCTGTCCATCATAGGTAATACACTCATGTTATGCTGCGGGATGCATTGTTTTCAGAGACTTGATCGCTGAAAATCCTACTTAGAAACTACTTTGGGATACTAACCATGTTAGTTTCAACACCCAGTAATAATCAAAATGAATCGTACTTACAATGAACCCTCGTCAAACTGTTTTCTCATTGTAATTAAATCAGGCTACCTACCCTGTTCTCTGTAAAAGATTTCATCTGATGTGTTTTCGATTTCATATATTATTTCTTCAAGGGGTTATGTTTATTTTGCAAATAAATATTAGCGAACAGCTGTTTAGACTATCACGTCTTATTCTTCCCGTTTTATATTCGTTTGGCACATCTGTGACCTAGTCGTAAGAAGCGTAAAACCTAATAATATATTGCCAATAAGGGACTTAGCAAGCAAGGTCTTCAAGGCAAAGCACTACTCACACCACACTCGGCACCTATCACGGTTTCCGAAGTGTCCTGTGATAGAGCAGCCTGATGTAAATAGGGTTTTTGGAAACGTCAGAGTACCTCCGGGAAGAACGACGATTCTCTCTCTCTCTAGGGGCCATTTTTCTGAGATGCCACGAAAAGTTCGTGCTGTAGAACTTTAATACAAAATAATGAAGATTTTGGTGATGAAGGCCGATTAACACCTTTAGGCAAGTATAATAAAACTTCTGCAATAAAGTGCACTGAAAATTATATATTGAACAATAACAAAATACATCGAAAAACACATGCATCATGATGACTTCTTTTCAGGCCTTCATGGTATAGGTATACCGCCATTTTGGTATGATAGTCGTGTCGTTGTAATACACGACGCCATAATGATGGCGAACAAGGTTTATTAAAACCCTGTGATTTCAACCACAATTGCTGCTGGTGCAATATTATGTTTATCCTTTGTTCCTGTTTCTAAAAAATATTTTTCTGGACCCATGCTGATATGCCACTGAGAACAGTTCCTCCGAATTTGGTATATTCTTGATGGATGATGAGATCCGTTTGGTAAAAGCTACGTTACACTTATAGGGATGACCTACTGTAAGTAGACTTTTCACTTAATTTTGCCAACCTGATGAGAAGATGGACTGCACCAGTTGATTTGGATTTAATACTATTACTTATTATTGTCTGCCTTTATATACCCTCTCCTTTGTGAGAAAGGGAGTATCAGCGCTGATAGTCCGTTTCATAGGACTTGGTTATATTTCCAGAATTTATATCACACCTGTGGACCATTTATCCAGTTTTTAATGTTTCCTTTTGAAGCCACAGTGAGGCTAAGTTTAAGATTTAAGTACTGCTTATCTTAGTATATATTTGTACTAACGAATTCTGACTATTACAGTTTTGTATACTATTGGATCATAAAAGATAACAAAACTCTTGCAACTATTCATGAGATTATATACTAACAGATTATTCACTCTCAGTAATTTCTTAAGCTAAAGTTAATTCTTCAAATACTCCAGGTGTTGGGTCCAATTTAAATTTGAATATTACATATGATATTATTGTAACTTTGAGGTAATTCGGTCATTATAGCATGGATTTAGAAAAACTCCAGTACTGTTGATATTTTTGTTTTGTCTCACCCTATTCCTTCCCAGATAATACTGGGTGGCGCCCACATTTACCTATTTTTATGAAATTAAATCCACGAACATCTCTACCACTAAAGAGCAACCGTGTAGTGAGGCCATAATTTCATCTCTTGTTGAAATTACGTCACACTATCGTCATCTCATCAGAACTGATTATCAACATAATATTTATAAACGTTTTGAATATGGAGTGAACAGAGTCAACAGGAATATGAACTCAATATTTCCCAGAGAGAGAACAAAGATAGGCTTAGTGAATCCAGAGTAGTGTACCTACCTTCGTACCAGCCCAAGATAGCCGCCGCCGAAAGTGACGTCACAAGACCGTTCCTGTGGTAAAAGGTTTTGGCTGCACGAATGTGACATCACAAGATGGCCGCCGCCGGAAGTGACGTCACAAGATGACCGCCGCCGGAAGTGACACGTGACAGATGGCATGGAACACAAAGAGTGACAGGTGACAGACAACGGGTGACAGATGACGAGCGATAGATGACAGGTGACCGATGACAAGTGACAGATGACATGGAACACAAGAAATGACAAATGACACGTGGAAGTACTCTGAACCTTGCCCACGAGACTCTAGACTCTACAGCTCATGAGTGTGTCCTAGGACATTCTTCTTCTTTTTGAAAGGTGGTGGATGATGTCACAATCTAGTGACTTCAACCACCAGATTAAGGTTGGTATCACTACAATTGGCAGCACTTTGTTTCAAGGTCACCCGATATGCATGTCACTGGTGGCCGATGAGTAATCCTCATCTCGACATCGTAGAACAATGCCGCCTTTGTATGCCATATGTTATCTAGACTCCCTCTAGAACAATGCCGCCTTTGTTCTCTCGACGCCACTCACAGCGTTTCTTGGAATTCCAGCTATTGGGAAATTGCGACGCGATATTATACGAGAACAATGCCGTCTTTGTTTGCAGGTGCCCGATTACGTAACAACCCCCTCCGATTGCATCATCCTCATCTGTGAGAGAACAATGGGTCCATTGCTCTGACGCAGGTAACCGATGAGTCACTCAACAGACATTTTCAAACTTTTTGTTGTCACGAGCCATCCAATCATGGATACTGAATGTGTCTCAAAGAACGTTTGCCGAATCTACCCAATAGCTTATATCAGCTGTGCGAATGCGTAGCTACCAATACCACTATTCAGACTCGACCTTAGAATCAGTTAGTAGTAATCAGTGTAATAATGTCCTAAGACGAGTACAGAAGCAAGTTGGAGGAATTTGGGGAGCGGGTTCGACAGCTGAATAAAGACATAACATTGTTCGAAGATAAAACCAGAGTGTTGATTCAATTGGAGAATCTGAGTTTGTGGGATGAAGTTTTCAGCAGCTGTGGAAAAGTACCAGCAGTAGAGGTGCCTGTTGAGCAGAGACGACACATTCAGCCTCAAAATATCACGAGTGGCATCCATGGTTCTTACAGCAATTTTGAATAACGTATTGTATACAAATGTTTCCAACGATGTTGAGAACATGGCGACTTGAAAGAAGATTGCAATCGATCATCGTGGACAGCGATGTGAAATGAGTTGGTGAAAAATGGATGTCTACTAGTATTTTACAAAGAAATACCAGAGACGAATAATTCCTTCTTCAAACTCAAGTTGATGTTTTCTGGTGGATCTGAAGAAGATACTGACTGGCAAACTATAGGAGCCCCCACAACAGGAATACAGAATGAATTTGATAGAATGTTCATATTACTAGGTTTGACATTTGCAGCTACGTATATTTTGATTGTGAAATGCCTTATGAAATCTGTTAAAAGGTACATATATCGTGAATGAAATGATGGAACTTATACAAGGTGTTTCAATAAAACTCCCATCCCTATCATGATGTTCATTGATCCAAACACATTACATCTTCATTTACGTAATATTATATTCATAAACCACTGGTAAAGTTGATCAACGTTCCGCTAGGCACACATATATTTTCCATTGGCGTGATTGGGGCAGTACGATATATTTTTCTGGTAGGTTTTACTGGAACAGGGTGTTCCATCATACGAAGCAACATCGTATATAGTTGGGAATACTTCGAGTTCTTCACATTTCGCCTTCAAAAAGTCAGTTTTCTGATTGCTCCTCACGTACATACATTCAACTGAATTCAACATATGGTATTCCATGGACGAATTTCCCCACATAACGTATAGTTTTCCTGTCATGTCCACTAATGGTAGTGAATGGTATGGGCGGTTTGAATAGGAAGGTGGATCTCTGGCGGCCAATTTGAATGGTCAGCTCTTTCGGGTGGAAAACACTGTCAAGAGTCTGCAGTTGGTAGTCATACTCAAATCAAGGTTCTGACGACTTCCGTTAGAGAAAAGTACTCTAGCAGACAGTCATGTACGATAATGCAATAGGCTTTGGTGTCAGCAGGGAATCCTTCATCGGCTTCTATTTCAAGCTTTATATCAACTATCGAGGATTTCATGGTCTCTTTCTGCCTCGAACAATCAATAACAAATAATGCATGCTGTTTGAATTCTTCATAATCCAAGATTGAGTGAACCTTCGTCGAATGTGGATAGTTCGAATAAAACCTGGTATAGTTGTAGTAAGCAAGGGTGTAGTCTTGTTTAGCGAAATCCAGCTGCATTCTCTCATTAGGCCAATATCCACCATTGAGGGATAATCTGATACTAACTATGCTCGTGTTATCAAAGTGGGTAGCATCAGCTTCTGCATTGTCACTTTCAGATTCCTGAAAGCACACAATAACGAACCAAGGACGTTCCATCGAAACGCTCGTTTTGACTGCCCAGATTTCACTGTTTGCGCCGTTTGTAAGAGCAGGAAATTGGCTGAGGTCCCATTTCCTGAATGAAATCAGTATAGATGTATAATTTTTTCATGATTTGCATTAGTTGTAGTTTGATTTCATCGTTCGGAAATACGTGCTTCACTTCAAGCACTACACTATGTATTTGTACTTCAACTGTAGTAGTAGTGGTTGTGGGTCCATTGGGGAGTTCCTGCACAATCACGCAATCATTATCATTACGAGCTCGGATCAGACGGATTGTTTGTTCTCCATAGGTGATTGAGGTGTAGTCATTGAAAACGTTGAACAGGTGCTTGAGTGGTATCAACAAATTGAATGTCTTGTCAATTGCATTCAAAAGCGGTTTATCAGGATGGATTACCGACAATTGGACGTGGTCAATTGGACGCACGAAAATTGGACGCGGATAATCGGACGCGGCGACAATTGGACGCGGCGACAATTGGACGCGACATAAATTGGACGCGGCGACAATTGAGCGCATGCGAAAATAAAAATAATTTTATAATTCCAATGAAATTTATTGCATGGAATATGCAGGGCTCATATCTATAATTTAACAAATACCTAACCTAACCTAACCTAACCTAACCTATTGTACTATATTCGTATCGTAAATTCATATAACGATATGAGATAGGAAAATAATTGTCAAACGAGGCCATAGGTATTTGTTATAATTATGGATATAAGCCCATCAGTATTTCATATTCCATACAATGAATTTCATTGGAATTATAAAATTATTTTTATTTACGCATGCGTCCAATTGTCGCCGCGTCTAATTGTCGCCGCGTCCAATTGTCGCCGCGTCCAATTGTCGCCGCGTCCAATTGTCGCGGCGTCCAATTGACTGCGACCAATAGTCGTGCGTCCAATTTTCCACGTCCAATTGACGCGACACCTATCAGGATACGTCCATCCGGCTGTGGATAAGTGTTTGGAATCATCAGGTTTATAGCACATGAATCCTCGCACACTACTCACGATCCCTGGATCTCTGACTCCTTCTATCTCTATTGCACTCTGCACATAACTGCAAGAATCTAATAGAAATGCTCCACAGTTGGGGGCCAAGTACACATTTCCAGCTCCTTGCACATACAACGTTTCTTTGATTTTCAGCAAAGACTCGTGCATTGCAAAAAATGTGTCTGCTTGATTTATGTTTATTTCCACCATATCATTGTTATTGGAGGATTTGACGAATGGGATGTAGGAGCGATATTCTTCTTTTCGGATGGTTTCATCATATCTGGGCCGACGATACAGATCAATAATTTTGTTTGTGTGGTTGAATGTTGGTGCTGTCGATTCTTCCGAACGGATATACTTGCGCTTGATTATTTTTCACTCGTAATCCGATTGCTTGCAGAAAGAGGACGTTTTCTGGAGTGAGCTCCTGTCTCTTCAGAGGTCCCGTTGATACTGATGAAATTGTGGTTAATCTTTTATTATCAACTACTAGACCCATTCAACGTTCTTGCAAGTCCAAGTGTGGAGTGTTCTTTTCTCCTCGAAAATTAAGAGGTCTAAGGTCCTGATCCATTGATTTTATTTGCTCACACACATTATCTAAATCGTATCATGAACGTTATGTCTTTCTGACTCTCTTCGAGTACATTCATAAGTGAATATGTGTTCTAATTTCATCTAGCATTCCGTTGATATATTCGCTCTTGACTCACTTGGGTATGATATACATGTCTCCTCGACTGACGCACTCTTTCGTGCAACCAATATGCCTATCATTTTTCGGGAGAGCAATAAACACTGATTCACTTCGTCGATCTTCGATCTACTTCGATCATCCTTGGCTTAGTTCATTTGATTCTACATCGTATATCAACTGACTATGAAGCACTTATCAAATCGAGGTATGCCTATCATTTATCGGGTGAGCAATGAACACTGATTCACTTCGTTGATCTTCGATCTACTTCGATCATCCTCGGCTCAGTTCATCTGATCCTACCTCGTATATCAACTGGCTATGAAGCAGGTGTCAGATCGAGGTATGCCTATCATTTTTCGGGTGAGCAATAAACACTGATTTACTTCGTTGATCTTCGATCTACTCTGATCGTCCTCGACTTAGTTCATTTGATTCTACCTCGTACTGACTACGAAGTAGGTGTTTAATAGAGGTTGTCTTTTATCGAGTTCAATGCAATTCTTTTCATTCTCCTCAAGCTTTGTTATTGTTCCTGGATGCTAGCTCAGACACATACTGTGTAGTAACTTTATTCTTCGATTTTTCTGAGTTGTTTATGATGTTTCGTGAGGCCCTGTATATATCCTCATTCACGAATTGTATCGAATGTAATATCAGAGAAGATTTGTTGATTATGAATCGATACCTAGATTCAACTACTATCTGTCAAGTGGATTCTGTCAGACCAGGTACATTACGTGAATAGTCTACAGTTTGGGGACATATTGTAATGTTTATTCTTCTGTGTTGTTCACACACTGTTCTTCTGTTATTACTGCCTGTATCAAATTTTAAACGAAACAGATTCACCCCATGTATCATGGTGCCAGAAATGGAATTTATTGAGTTAGTCTTGATCCACACATTATACTTCAGTCATGTTATGTGTTAATTGAATTTTTGTTGCTGTAAATGCAGAGTCATACCAGTATTTCACTGACCATTCTGAAAGTCATGTTTTTCTATATTTTGACTCACGTGTTGGACGTTTTGATACACTTTTTTTTTTCATCGAGTAAACACACGTGAATTCCAATCAATTCTTTGAGTTATCTTTCTTCGAGTTGTTTCGATTAATTCTCTCATTCTTGTTGATATCTAGCAGACTCCGATTGAAACTGCTTCCAGAGTACCCAATCGATCATGTTAATGAAATAGAATGACGTTGTTGTTCTCCCCAAAGCATGTCCTTGTCGGTGTTATTAGGAATATGAAATGAAATTGAGGATACATTTGTCGATAACTCTATTTGATTTGTCGCAGGTCATATTTTATTTAGATATACCTGTATATGGTTTACGTCAAAGTCTGTTCTAGAGATGTCTCATACATATCAGATGTTCCATAACTACAATTTCCTTCGAGGTTTTTCACCTGTTTTCCTTCTCCACTCTGTATATATTTTTGGACTGAATTTGTCCTTATATTAACCCTATATGTTACGTACGTCAATGTTCTACTAGATGTGATATACATACCAATGTTTGAAGTTTCATTCGATTTTCAATCTCAGATCTGTGTATACTTTTTCATTTGAAATAGCTGAATGGCTGGAAAGAGTTGTGCATCGGAACGTGTATATTCCAGTGGAATATCGATCATTCTGTAACGTCTGACAACACTGTTCTAGGTGGGCAACTGATTGAAGTTTCCGCGCGTGCCTTCTGCTGAAAATATGTGGTTTATTTCGATATCAGGATGGCATAGTCGGGGAACTGCTGCTTGAATGAGCATATATCTATTAATAGCATGATACTACACCTCATTATAACAATTCTCATGATGATAATGATGATCTATGATATAATATATCTCATATCCAATGATTCTCAATCTTTTTTTTTTTTCTGACATCTAGCAACCCACAAAACCCATAGAGTTATGATGATAATATATATTTTGGAATGCATGATATATCTTGCGAATCTTGAGACTTCCCATAGAGGTATGTTCAATCTGATGTGCATGTAGCGTGTTTGGATGATCTCCAACATTTTTTAACGTTTTTGTGTTATTTCTGTGACGTTTTTGTTATGTTTTTTCGATTCATGTTTTTTTTTCTAGTCATCCTGCATATGTCTTTTCGATCTTTCATTCGACTCTGAGTATTCGTATTACCCTGTATATTATGATTTTGATTTCCTCATTATCCTCTGTCATCTGCCATACGCCATCTCCCTTAATTCTGTTATACCTGATCGTTTGCTTTCGGCTACGTTTGGAGCACCGGAAATATCATCACGATATCTTCAAAATGTTATAGTGGTCACTGATTGGTCAGCTCAGTCACGTTTTTCAACCCGGAAGGTGGAGAAGGGGGAGGAGGTTTCTATAGATTTTTTTGAGCAATCCGTTCCGTATATGTTTTTATAATAGAAGAGCGTTTGCTTTCGGTGAGGTTTGAAGCACCAGGAGTAACACCAAAGGTATACATCCATACAACTATCAAGCATTATCTGTCATATGTCAAATGTCGATCGTTTCTTCCATACAGCATATGTTATATATCGTATTTGGCGAGGATGATAGCATTATGAGTATAATGGTACATTAAACAATATCATGAGAGCCAAACATTTGATTTCAGTGAGTTTAAAATCACCAGGATATGAGCTATTGGGCAAATTCGACAGGATGTAAGCATGAACCGCACTTTCGGACACACCCTGTATTTCTCTGAAGTTTTCTATCTCCGAATGACTCGTGATGTCATCAGCCACCTGCTAACAAAATGAGGTTACAAGATTGATTATATCTCTCAGCGAGAACAGAGGAGACATTGTTGGGTGACTCTTTTGGCCACCTGCGCTTGAACAATGGACCCATTGTTCTCACACAGATGAAGATGATGCAATCGGATGAGGTTGTTACGTAATCGGACACCTGCAAACAAAGGCGGCATTGTTCGACGAAGTCGAGATAAAGATGACTCATCGGCCACCTGCGTCAGAACGATGGACCCATTGTTCTCACACAGATGAGGATGATGCAATCGGATGAGGTTGTTACGTATTGATAGCTGGAATTCCAAGAAAGGCTGTGAGTGATGTAGAGACAACAGAGGCGGCATTGTTCCTTGAGGAGGTCTAGATAACATATGGCAAATGAAGCAGGCATTGTTCTACGAAGTCGAGATAAGGATGACTCATCGTCCACCTGCAAACATAACATGCATATTGACCTTGAAACAAAGTGCTACCAATTGTAGTAATACCAACCTAAATCTGGCGAGAAACAAAAAGTCACTAGATGGTGACGTCATCCACCACAAACCAAAGCGAAGAAGACTGTCCTAGGACACGCCCATGAGGTCTAGAGTCGAGAGTCGATAGTCCAGGGGGCTAAGTTCAGAGTACTTCCACGTGTCATCTGTCATTCTATGTGTTCCATGTCATCTGTCACTTGTCATCGGTCACCTGTCATCTATCGTTTGTCATCTGTCACTCGTCGTCTGTCACCTGTCACTCTTCGTGTTCCATGTTATCTGTCACCCCTTGTGCTCCATGTCACCTGCTTCTTGTCATCTGTCACTTGTCATCTGTCACGTGTCACTTCCGGCGACCATCTTGTGACGTCACTTTCGTGCAGCCAACAACTTCTACCACAGAAACGGTTGTGACGTCACTTCCGGCGGCGGCTATCTTGGGCTGGTGAACAGGTAAGTACACTACTCTGCTGCCAATTGAGTGAATGATCAAAGAAATTACATTTTGTTTGCCAACAACTCATGCACGTATACAAGAAATTTATCATTCACTCTCTTCAAAAGTCTTTGGTAATTCAGAATTGTAATTTCCAACCCTTTCAATCCCCCTCATTACTTCAAAAATCTTTATAATCTTTATAATCTTCATATGTTTTCTCTTGGTCAATAGTCGTTTAGGAATAGCAGTTAGTTCAATTCTTCTGCAAGTTGATGATACGGCAAATTTTTCAAATCTTTTTCCATCAATGAAAACTTGTGTCCACGTCATGCTGGTTCGATAACAGCTGAAGCAATCAATTTCAATAGTAAGATACCCGATGAATCTCAAACACTCATCTCCGTTATCCCAACATAATCAGTATGATTCTCATGGTTGAATACTGACAATCTAGGATGTCAATCTAGAATGTTTAAGTTTCAATATCAGGTTGTAGGAAGAACTTTCCAAAGATCAGGTAAATTGGTGAAACAGGTTGAATTGAAGAAACATGTGATACAGGTGAAACAGGTGATACAGGAGAACACGTTAGGAAGGTGAAACCAGTAAATTATTCAGAACAGATGATTCGAGCAAATAAACAGGTATTTCTGCATCATCCAACCCCCTGATAATTTTCGATAAATCGAGTGACGTTGAAAAAACGCAGGTGACAAGGTGAATCGTGATTGAGTGGGTGACACAGGTAAGACAGGTAGAAACACAGGTGACGAGGTGAATATTTGGTGACAACAGCTCCTGGTCATCGTCGACACTTCTGCACTTCGTAAAGTCTGCACAAACTTCAGCTAGACCTTCATTTTGCTTGAGACAGCTTGAATACTTGATGGACAGCTTATCAAACTGTCGCAAATTTTAAGGGTTCAGTTCGAATTGGGGAACTTTCAATGAAAACATCCTGTATAATATTTTTCATTCGCTACTGAAGCAAGAACACCACCACGCCAAATCAACCATGAGTTCAGGCAGGGTTGCAATTTGAGACTACTTTCAGAAGATCGATAACAAAACTGAATGTACTATATGTAAAAAAGCAATACAAACCATAGGCAACACCTCCAATCTCCATTTACATTCGAAATATAAACATCTCATTAAATATCAACAAGATGGCCGCCGGTCTAGGTGCGAGTCCAAATCATCTGTTAAAAAACGAAAGTTTTACATGCAAACACTGCAGAAAAATTGTTGTGAATTATGTGAAATGTGTGAAATGTCATGTACCACTTCATCCAAGTTGTTTGAAGCAAGCAAATCAAGCAAAAAACCCGGAGTGCCTCCATACAGTGGAAGAAATATGCAGAGTCGATGCCGTGAGTAATGAAATCTCATTCAAACTGGAAGTGTTCATGTCTGAAAATTCCCTTTTGAAACGCATAATAATGAAATTGGAAGAAAAAAACCATATATTGAATGAAAATTGTCAGCTGTTACGCGATAAAATTATAAACATTGAGAAAATCCATCAGTCATCCCAGAATGAAGGCATGGGCGAAGTGAAAAAAACCAAGCCAACAAACCTAAACGACAAAAAAACTTCAGTTCCAGTATCCGCATCAACATCAACATCTCTCAAGGCATTCAAGGCCAGCAACCTGCAAACGATGAAGGAGAAGGAGAACTCTGTGAAGTTATCCATAACCTCGCTGTCTTCTTCTAGTCGTGACAGCTCACCTGCTGTTCCTCATCCTAAAACGGAACATGGCACAGAACGCAAGACTCAAGTGAAGAAACGAGAAGAGGAAGATATCACTATGAAGAATGATAATATAAAGAATAGGAATCATAACCAAGAACCTGACCGAAACAAAAACAAAACAGATTACGATGATACAAATAATTTGCAAGAGCAGGAAAGGAAATCCAAATCAAATGGAGATTGGAAAACGGTAGCTTACAGAAGACACAAAAGTAACGATGGTAAGAGACTCCAGCACAAATTATCAACTGGTAGTCGAAGCAACAACGAGGCTATGGCAGCTTTAAGAGTTGTAAATAGGCTAAGTTGGATATATCTTTCTGGATTCCACCCCGATACAACTAATCACGACCTACTGAAGTGCCTCGACGGGAATTTTGCAGAACAATATATATGTGAACAAATAACAAAACGTCAAAATCCAAAAATGTTATCCCTTAAGTAAGGAGTCCCGATTCAACTTGAACATCAAGTAGGGTCCCTAGAATTCTGGCCAGAGGGTATAATCGTTGAAAAATATACACCCAGAAAGTATAAAAGCCACCAAAATTTTCCAAAGGATCAACGGAACCAGACCTCAACCTAGGTCACTCCAAAAATGCAGAACATAAATTGCTACATCTAAACATACAAAGTGTTAGACACAAGGTTAATTTGTTAGAAGCTCTAGCCGAGGAATTTGAATATGATTATATTTGTCTTAATGAGCATTGGTTAACAAATGTTGAATATAACAATTTAAACTTCAAGGGCTACAGGCCCGTCTCTGGTTTTTGCAGGTCTCGAATGGAACATGAGGGTGTCTGCTTGTATGTGAAAAATACATTAGATGCCTACCCTACACCTGATATGATCTTGAATATTTCCAGAGAATTGCACTTTGGAGTTTCTGGCATTTACTGTGGAAATCTCCAGCTGTCAACTATTTATAGGTCTCCAATTGGTGAGTTTGTAATCTATATGGCTAAATTGAACGAGCTGCTTGAGAGACTAGATTATAGAAGAAATATCATCATTACAGGTGATTTTAATGTGAACTTCGATTCTTTTAATAATCAGGCACACCAATTATGCAATCTCTTTATGTCATACGAATTGCACCATACTGTGAACATACCCACGAAAGGTGAAAATTGTCTTGATAATGTATTCACTAACTACAGGGAGGATTACTATCAGGCAGATGTTTTTGACCCTTGCATATCTGATCACTCGGCCATAAATTTCAACTCTTTGAAAGAAATGGGTAGGGATAAAAAGTCTTGAATAACTTTCAGACCAATCACAGATGCAGGTTTGTGCACCTCATATAATGCACTGAAAATTGTAAATTGAAATGATATAAATGACAAAAATCAAGAAATTTGCGTATGGTTTGACAAATTCATCAATATCATCATCGAAAAAATCGAATTTTCCTTGCCCAACAAAATCTAAGCTGAAAACAACTTCCATCAGGGATGTACCGATGGTTAACTGGTTCAATCAGGACTTGATTAAATTGAGAGATACACTCCGCTTCAAGAATGATTTACATAAGAGAAACCTCCAGGCTATCCCCAAAGAAAATATTCTTGATTACAGGTGCTTCTATCGCTTGAGTATTTTGAATGGGAGGAGAAAAGCTCATGATGAATTTATAGAAAAATCATCCAATAAACAAACAGCCATATAGAATTTTATCAAAGGAAACAACCCCATCATGAAATCTGAAAATATAGAAAATGTATTTGCAGAAAACTTTAATGCCTACTTCTCTGGGATAGCCGAAATTGTACCGATCCGTATGACATCAATATCAAAATCGTAGAAACTATTGCCAACCTAATAATATATCCCCTGACATACCTAATAAATTCTTGCATAGAAAAATGCATATTTCCAAACGTTTTGAAAGTGGCCAAGGTCATACCGATTAATAAAAAAGGTTCGGCAGAGGAACTATCTAATTACCGGCCTATTCCCTTGGTACCGATATTTTCAAAGATATTCGAAGCACTTCTTGAATCGCAAATAACCGAATATTTTGAAGCAAATGACCTGTTCAATAAATGCCAATTTGGGTTTCGTAAGAATCTCTCAACAACTCTCGCGATAAACGAACTTGTGCAAATCATAAATGATGGTTTTGAAGAAGGTATGTATGTTCATGCTGACCTTCATGACATAACTAAAGCATTCGATTGCGTTCAGCATGATTAGCTACTGTTGAAACGAAAACGAAGGCAGTATAACTCAAGCTCAAATAGTATCAACTCAATGTCATCTCACCTATCTGACAGGCAACAATATGTCACACATAACATTTATGTCTTTAGTAAAATCTGGATGAAACAAGGGGTGCCACAAGGCTCAATCTTGAGCCCTACTCTCTTCCTAATATATATATATGATCTATCCCATTATATTATCAATGACAAAGTCATACTTTTCGCTGACGATACCATAACAATCAGTTCATCAAACAACCTGGATACTCTTAGAGCTAATGTGAGAACCCAGAATGAGGGAATTCAAAACTGGTTTACAGCAAACAAGCTGACTTTGAACGACGACAATACTCAATCGCTGCTTTTTACCTTACGTCACTATGAAACAACCCCAGCAGATCCGGTGAAATTCTAAGGTGTTTATATTGACCCCTTTTTAACATGGGGAACTCATGCAAACGAATTGACCAAGGAACTCTCTTCCGTTATCTATATGATTAAAAATTAAAAAAATAACGTATCTAAGGATATTCTCATGACAGCCTATTTCGCTTACTTTCATTCGAATATGACAGATGCTCTTCTAAGCTGGATTCACTCATGCCACCTATCTAAGGTCTTCGGAGTTGAGAGACGCTGTGTGAGAGTTATCTCAGGACTGACTTACAGAGACTGTTGTAAGTCAAAATTCAAAGAATTGGGTATACTCACAGCTTCTTGTGCCTATATCCTCGAATGTGTAGTCTATGTAAAAAAAATGTGGATGCATATCGTACAACTGGAGACTCCTACGGCTACGATACACGTAACACAGGTGAATTGTTACCTGAATATCATCGCCTTGAAAAGACCAGAGACGATAATACTTACTTCGGCCCCAAAATGTACAATGTACTCTCAGATGAACTCGAAAATGTAAATTTGAATTGTTTTACTGAAATCTTTAAAAATTTTCTTTTGACAAAAGCATTTTACTCAATTGGAGAATATCTCACAAACAAATTCAATGATTTGGTATTATCAAACTACAAATGATCAAGTGAACAAGACCCAGGTTTCTTTTTTAATTATTTTAACATGTTGTACATGATTTTGATAGTCTTATATATTTGTATATTGTCCAACAACATGTATAAGAGTGTATTGACCTTTTACTGACTTGTGTAAGTCCTCAAATGTATATCAACACCAATAAATCTATCTATCTATCTATCTATATTCTGAAATGCAGAGACGACTGAAGAATAAACATGAGAACGGGGGAGATCTGGGTGACAATGATAATGAATATGTCACTGATGATGGGTAGATAAGATGAGTGATTATTTCGATCTCTCAATAATATTCTGAATATTTTCATTCGTTTTCATCAAACTTTCATTTCGACTTGAAATTCACTAATATACCATATCATTTCTAGAATATGTCTCATGACTTAGGAACTTATGATCCAATTTCAAGCAGAATAATTTGATTGTTCAAAAAATAACCACAGCGCACGTGCACGCCAAGATAGTATGCAAATGAGTTAATCGTGATACAAGAAACACTAAAAATGAGGCTGCAAAAAAGCATACGTTAGATATTTGTTCAACGATACCTCAACCGAATTTGAATAAGAATGAAACGGTACATACAGATTTGAAATATGTACCTCTCTAACAAGGTGTAACTTGACACCTTGTACAAGTCGATAATTTTGAAGGAGTTGATTGATCTTTAGGTCAGGAGGTTGACAGGTGGTTTGAAATTTTCATTTGAGAAAGAAGATTCTTGAGAATAAAAATCGAATTGTCCGAGGATTTTTCGAAATATTATATCGTCATGGAGATACGTATTTTATTCCATCATAAGTCTCCACACTGTATAAGAGTTCTCACCCCCTTATCCATTACGAACAAACTCAGAGGGTCCACATTCATCTTTTCGAAATGAGAAACACCTTTTCTCTTTATAAACTATATAATATTTATCAAATGATCTAACAATTGTCCACTGAATCATCATTGCTCTAAAATATGATGATTCATAGTCTAAAAATAATTGGGTGAAATGTTAGGTCTGTTCCTTTCCTATGAGAGTGTGACACTGAACTACACTTTTTCCAAAATAGCGTTCCTTTCCTTCAGTGTGTTGCTTCTTCCACTACACCTCGTCGTTCCTTCGCAACAGTGTAATTACACCGATGTAGGATATCTCCACTGAGGCTATAGACGGTGTGGAAGACACTGACATATGTTAAATCGTTAGTTCCGATAAAATCAGCGAATCAGAGTGAATCTGAAGGATTATAAATTATAAGTATATATATATATATATATATATATAAGTTAGCAAATTTCGTATAAACGGTTTACCTACACGTGGATCTGGGTGAAAGTGGAAAAATTAATCCTTCGTTAATTGGAATACGGTTAGTTAGTAATAATTCTCTACAAATGTACAGCCGACTTTCGAAATCACTTTACCATGAATAATCTTGAAAAGGCCTACAGTGAAAGGCGACTGGATCAATTTGGAATTCTCCTTGCTAATTCTGAATGATGATTGATTGACAGGCAAAGATGGTAATTTTTCAAGCATACTTCAATCACCCACACAGCACATGTATGTCCAATGTACGTACAATGTACGTCCACGTCGGATCGTAAGGACGTCCAATGGAAGTACTCGAGTAGACGTTTAACATCCTATGGACGTCCACTGGATGTCCTGATGACACCACTTTGGACGTACTGTGGATGTCTGCATGTGGATGTACAGTGGATGTTCATATTTGGACTCACAATGGATGTACATGTCTGAGCATTCATTGGACGTACCAAATTGGACGTAAACGTCCAATGAAAGTCCATTGGATGTCTTGAGGACACCACTTTGGACGTACATCGGATGTTTACATGTGGGTGTATAATGGATGCTCATCTTTGAGAATCAAATGATGAAAAATCAGTAGGTAGCAAATATAAATTCTTCTATTGAGATATATATTTGATGTCGATTGCATATATATAAATATATTGTTGATTCATGTCTTCTTCAGTCCACTTCAAATTCTTGTTTCTGTAAGAAAAGAGAAATATTATAAATTGCTATATAGGTAGAAATCGATTGTCTATACCCCAAATCCTGTTCAGCTTAACTCTGACTGGTGAATGAAGCCTTATTTACATTGCTATATACTTAGGTACTTCTTCTATCAAGCCGCCCATTAAAAATCAATAACAACCTGTAG